AAATGGTTTAGCTCCTGTATATTTAACTGATCTTTTTATGCCCTATAATCCATCACTCTTTAGGGTCACAAAACTCTGCCCTTTTAGTAGTACCTAGAATATCTAAGTCCAATAAAGGAGGGAGATAAGTTTCCTATCTGGCTCCTAAACTCCGGAATAGTCTTTCTGATAATGTCCAGGGCTCAAACACACTCTCTCTGTTTAAATCTAGATTAAAGACACATCTCTTCAGCCAAGCATTCGCATAATGAATCTCAATCTCACCCTTGTTCACAGATAGATCAGATAAAAGTCACAAACATATTTTTTGCTTTAGACGTTATGAACAGCAGCTACGCTAATTCTTTTCCATTTGCCTTTCTGTTCCTACCCCGGGATGCCCATTTCGAGGTTACTAGAGATTACACCAGCTCCGACGTGGATCCAGCCTCACAGAAATACTTCAGATGACCCAACACCTGTGAAGAGATAATGCTGACCCCTGCGAGGGCCCCAGATGACGCCAACTTGAACAACATGCACAGCTGCCCAATTTTATCGATATTGTAATAGGGGCAGTCATGGTCGGACTTGTAACCCGAAGGTCGCAGGTTTGAGTCTCAGGTCCGGCAGGGATTGTAGGTGAATATCCAGCACTCTCTCCACCTTCAATACCACAACTGAGTGCACTTGGATGGATTTAAGACATACTGCTGCTGCACAAATAGCATATTAAATAACCCGTAGCAGATCTATACAGGTGGAGCTGGGGGAGGTGGAGGGTTTCAGAGAAACTCTGAAAGCGCACTGCAGGAATCTCTAGTGAATGCTAGCCAGCCATATAAATTAGTTTTTTTGGTAAAATAGGTTTTTCTATCAATTACTGAAAGTAAAAGTGGAAACTAACGAGATGGATCTTTCTCTCACTGACTTACAAGTAGGGATGGGTATCATTAAGGTTTTAACGGTATTACTAATCGTATGACACTGCACATCAGTCCGGTTCTTTAATGGTATTTTTTATTTACAATGACAAAAAAAGGGCCCATTTAATACCGGGTTCAGGTACCATCACTACTTACAAGAGAAGCACAGAAGAATCAGTTTCAAAGCTACATTACAGTATTTCTTATATCTGCATTTTCTCAATACATCATAAGTGGAAGAATAACTAGTCATTTTAAAACCAACAGTGAAGAACAAGTTAAAAATACATCTCAATCTCTTTTGAAAGTGTTACATCCTCTTCTTCAGCTTCCTGAACAAGAATGGTTTGTAAAAAGCTTCTACTTTCCTTCATAAAAGAGTAAGCAAACTACAAGTGGTTACATATGCATTAAAAGACAATTGAAAATAATATGACACTCATAAGAAAACACAATATCATCTATAACAGGGTCGTCCAAACTCGGTCCTGGAGGGCCACTGTCCTGCAGAGTTTAGCTCCAACCCCAATTAAACACACCTGAACCACCTAATCAAGGTTATACTAGGCATGCTAGAAACTTCTCGGCAGGTGTGTTGAGGCAAGTTTGAGCTAAACTCTGCAGGACACCGGCCCTCCAGGACTGAGTTTGGACACCCCTGATCTATAACATTAAGCAAAATGATACACAAGAATAAAACTTTCTGACATTGTTCTTTGGGGAGGAACTCCATCTTTGAGCTGATCTGAATCTCACAGTAGAATCTGCTGGTTTTGAAGATGAAAATTAACTTTATTCACTGTGAAACTTTAGATAATGTTTCTTTGTCGTGTCACTTATAATGACTGGTTAGGACAGATTTATCTAGATGATATTTTATTGCTTGATGCATTATTGTGTCTCATTTGGTAAGGACGCAGCATCAGATCTGAAAGTGCTGATCTGAAGATGATCTACTTACTGTGATTGTTTTTTGTATGTCTGTGTAGAGCAGATAATTGAATGAAACACTTCCCACATGCAGTGCAGTGATACGGTTTCTCTCCAGTGTGGATCCTCTCATGAGTTTTCAGATTTCCTGACCGACTGAATCTCTTGTCACAGTGTGAACACTTGTACGGTTTCTCTCCAGTGTGGATCCTCTGGTGTGTTTTCAGGTCTCCTAAATGACTGACTCTCTTGTCGCAGTGTGAACACTTGTATGGTTTTTCTCCAGTGTGAATCCTCTCATGCAGTTTTAAACAGTATGCTGAAGTAAAAGTCTTTTCACACTCAAAGCACATGTACTCTCTCACACCAGTGTGTATTTTCTGATGTTCTTTCAAATTTTGTAGACGTGAAAAACTCTTTCCACACAAATAACATGAATGTGGTTTCTCCTTTGTATGAACTCTCAAGTGCTTCTTCAGGTCTGAAGCACCCAAAAATGTTTTGCTGCATTGATCACATGTGTACAGCCTCTCTCTAGTGTGGATGTTCATGTGTTCTTTAAGGTGTGATGATTGTGAGAAACTCTTCCCGCACGGATCACAAGTGTACGGTTTCTCTCCAGAATGAAGTCTCATGTGTATTTTAAGGTTTCCTTTTAGTGTGAAGCTCTTGTCACAGTGTGAACACTTGTACGGTTTCTCTCCAGTGTGGATCCTCTGGTGTGTTTTCAGGTCTCCTAAATGACTGACTCTCTTGTCGCAGTGTGAACACTTGTATGGTTTTTCTCCCGTGTGAATCCTCTCATGCAGTTTTAAACAGTATGCTGAAGTAAAAGTCTTTTCACACTCAAAGCACATGTACTCTCTCACACCAGTGTGTATTTTCTGATGTTCTTTCAAATTTTGTAGATGTGAAAAACTCTTTCCACACAAATAACATGAATGTGGTTTCTCCTTTGTATGAACTCTCAAGTGCTTCTTCAGGTCTGAAGCACCCAAAAATGTTTTGCCGCATTGATCAAATGTGTACAGCTTCTCTCTAGTGTGGATGTGCATGTGTTCTTTAAGGTGTGATGATTGTGAGAAACTGACATGACTTTTCTCCCCAATTTCACTCAGTTCTTCACTATCCTTGTTTTCTTCAATCAACTCTGAATTAAAAGTAAAAACAGGTTATTTTCAGGAACTCATAAAAAAAGAGAAATATGAAAGAACATAAAAGTGAACCCTGATATCCCTTACCAAAAAGAAGTATACTTCAAGTTTATTTAATTAAGTCTACTTAAGTAAAGTTCAAGTATATTTTAAGTATACCTTATGTACTAAGTGTGCAAATTTCAGTGCACTAGTAGTATACTTGTAAGAGTACTATTTCAATACTCCTTGGGACTAAGTATAGTCTCAGTAAACTACTAGTTTAGTAGTTTTATACTGCAAGTATACTCGTAAGTTTTTTTTAAGTGAACTTTACATCATACTTTAAGTATACTACTATGCCCCTATTTAGGTATTAATTTGTATATATTTTGTTACATGAATATCGGAACATACAAAACATCAAAAGAAAGAACAAAGTATCTGCTTGTAAACAAAAACATGTTATTCTAGCTTCATGTATTCTTTTTTTAAACACTTTAATGTTGAATGTTTCATAATAAAAAAAATAAAGAAATAAATAAACAACATTTTGAACAAAAAGCTGAAAAAGGCTATGAATTGGATTCAGAATGATAATCAAAACGTAGATAAAGTCGATCAACACCCCAAAGCTTGACAGTCATTATTACCTCTTCATTGGTCAACATTTTATTCCATAACGTTGCACAGTTTTGATGCTGTTTTATGTCTGATGATCGTGTTAGATTACGTGTGGAAGCTTCTGATGTTTTGGTTTGTTCTTCGCTTGTGTTTTGGAAATTCTGTACAGAAGATGTTTAATAGCGCCCCCTATTGGATAACAATGAAAACATGGATTCCCGGAGCGCGAAATATAGCTCAAATATATTTAGACTTTTTCCAAGTACAAGTCAAGTATACCTAAATGTCATTTTAAGCACATTTCTGAGAAGTAAATAAAAAGTAGACTGAAAGCATACTTTCTTATTGTCACGAATTCGGTCCATGGACTTCCGTTTATTCACCACCAGAGGTCACCCTTTCCATTACATTGACTCTCGCACAACACAGACTGTTGCATAGCACCCCGGACTACATATCCCATCATTCTTTGCACGATTTGCACACTGCACTGATTGCACTCATTGCACACAGCTGTTTCTAATCACCTCACTCACTATATAACACCCACTCTAACCACCTTTCTCTGCTGAGTATTGTTTAGCCTGTACCCCTTTCAGAGTCTCCGTGTTTTTCTTGTTTTGCCTTGCCTGTTTTTGCAGTTTCTGATCTTTGCCTGTTTTCCTGGATTTCTCCCTCTCGTCTCGCCCCTGTGATTCTGTCTGCCGATCGGTGACCTACGCTAGCCCTAGGACTATTCTTGTGTTTTTGCCCGCCATATACCTGTTTGCCAGTGTTCGACCCTGCCTGTTATACCACGTCTCTTTAATAAAACTTGCAGATGGATCCACACGTCTCGTCAGCCCCGTTACACTTATAGCCCTATTCTTATAGGTACTCCATCATTAACGATAGAAACGTGTTCGAAATAGCGCACGATATAGGCGCGTGCTATGAGTGACAAGCAGACAGCACACACGAACATGAGTGCTGTGCCTGCCTGTGATGAGGAGATTGTGAATAAAAAAATACGAGTCGAATTTAAAATAAAAAAATGCATTTGAATGCAAAAATGGTACAGTCAAATGTTAGTTGTGCGCCAGGGAGCGTCATCAGTGGTGCACGAGAATCGAGATGCGGTGACGAAGTGACATTGTTGCATTTTAATGTTTTGTTAGTCTAGCCCACGAGACGCGCAGCTGCTGCATTATTCATTCAAAATATTAGAGAAATATAGAAGCTCGATGCTTAGAAGATCTTGATTAGGTTAAAACCGAAAACCAAGCCATTCACACAGACGCATATTCAGTGCATTTTTGTGACGGACGAACACGACAGCTGCACTCGCGTCTCACACTAGGCAAGGCAAGTTTATTTATATAGCATATTTCATACACAATGGTAATTCAAAGAGCTTTACATAAAAGAAAGTAAAATAATAAAAACAATCACAACAATGAAACAAGGAATGTAAAAACTTTTACAATGATTAAAAAATGTATTTAAAACAGTTAAAAATAGGAAATAATTATATATAAAATGCAGCGCACTCAGTTTGGACGTAGCACTGTGCTCATTCAATAAATGCACAGCTAAACAGATGTATAGAAACACACAAGAGATGTACAGAAAAACATGCAAAGTTAAATCAGTTTAAACGTTTAGAAAACACATCGCTTCACTGCGTCTCAAATGTTTTTAAATGCAATCTGTGTGATCGGCGATTCGGCTCTTTTTTTTATCTATGCAATGCATAAATACATGATGCTGTTTTGTTCATAATTGTTAATGCAATTTATGAAATTATATTTGATGTTATATATGCACCATGCAAAGTTAAATCAGTTTAAACGTTTAGAAAACACATCGCTTCACTGCGTCTCAAATGTTTTTAAATGCAATCTGTGTGATCGGCGATTCGGCTCTTTTTTTTATCTATGCAATGCATAAATACATGATGCTGTTTTGTTCATAATTGTTAATGCAATTTATGAAATTATATTTTATGTTATATATATGTATATATATATATATATATATATATATATATATGCACTTTTTTTTTGGACAGTTATTTCATTGCATTGACAATTTAATGCACTGCATTGTTTTGCTCATTGCGCCCCTCTGTGACTTCGGGAGACAAGCCAAAAGTTTCCATTAGACTTATTTAATCTGCATATAACACATAAGAAAGGAGATATTTGTTTACATTTTATTGTGAGTTTGACTGTTAAAACAAAACAAATGTGTTGTTTGTCTCAATAAATTGGGTAAATTAAAAACACTGGTTGAATTAAAAAAAACATTTTCTATTGCCCTTTGTTTAAAAAAAAAAAAGGTTATAAAAATATCAATAATTATCGATACGAAACATATCGTTGATACAATTTTTTGCTATGTTGCCCAGCCCTACTTTCCTAGTTTTAGTTTAAAAGAAGTATACTAATAGCCAGGGGTGTGAAGTAACAAATTACAAATACTCACGTTACAGTAATTAAGTCGTTTTTATCAGTAATTGAACTGAGAAATTGTGTACTTTGACTTTTACTTGAGTACATTTTAAGTGATGTATCGGTACTTTTACTCCGCTATTTTCCTCCGTTTGTGGTCGTTACATGCTTATTTTAATTTAATTTTTATCCATCAACGTGATTGGATAGAGAGTAATAGGTCTCGTGACTTTCGTCAAATCAAATTGTGCATAGAAAGCTTTAACCACCAACTGTTTATCATGGCTGCTGGAAGCGCATTCTTCAAGCATCTATTCTGTCGCATCTGATGATTTACTGAGAATAACTTTCATCTTTTCTTCAACTGAATACTGTTTCCGTGCTGTTTTGATGTATTTTAAAGAGTTGGCAGTCAAAATTAAAACTGCTGGATGATAGATACTCTTCATTCTTTATGACAAACAAGATAATGTGAATTACAGAATGTACAACGTTTTTAAAATCTATAAATTGCGGTGTACAGTGTTTATTATGAGGGGGTAGAATCCACAGCTCAGTACTCACTACTCAATACTCATGAGTACTTTTAAATAGGCTACTCTTTTACTCTACTCACACTACATTTATTGAAAGGTAATGGTACTTTTACTGGAGTATATTTTTTCAGTACTCTTTCCACCACTGCTAATAGCACACATGAATAAACTTGTTCGTAAGGGATAACAATTGCTATACAAAATGTGGATCGTTTTGATGCATGTTCACAAATGATACGTCCCTGAAACTTTCCATGAATGAGGTACTCCAGTTATTCCAGTTATTATTTTTAAAATTATGAGCACAAATCCCATGTCTCATAGTTTGATCAACTACACAATTATCTAACATACATTTTTTTTGGGGGGGGGACCCAGTTTGTAGAAAGTGTCCCTTATTATTTGATGCTTCAGCAAGATTATTAACAGCTCTAAAGATTTCTCCTATTACAACAAAAATCATCATTAATGAAGAATCAAGAATAAACACCAACCTGTTTGTTCTTCAGTGCGTCTCATTCTGCAGGGTTTGTGGGAGGAGCTTCACTGATGATGTGATTGTTGTGGGAGGAGCTTCACTGATGATGTGATTGTTGTGGGAGGAGCTTCACTGATGATGTGATTGTTGTGGGAGGAGCTTCACTGATGATGTGATTGTTGTGGGAGGAGCTTCACTGATGATGTGATTGTTGTGGGAGGAGCTTCACTGATGATGTGATTGTTGTGGGAGGAGCTTCAATTAACATGAATTTGCGTGTGGAAGCAGATTTGCCAAAATACACAATAAATCAGTTTCTGAGTTTTTAAAAATAATCTACACATTTAAGCAGTTATGTAAGTGTAGCAGAAGAGACCAAAGCCTTGCAGATACAGTGTTGTCTCTTTGTAAATCATTATATTACTATTACAAAGAGCACATCAGTTTAAAATGCTCATTCAGTAACACTGCACACTGCAACATATGTGCCATTTCACACTCTATGCATTTCTGCTTTCTGTCTTTCTACAGTTATCATTTCTATTCATATTTGTTCAATTCTGCCCTCTGCATTAACATGTAAGATGACATCTGTATAGAAATATAGAAAATAATATATTGTAAATTCCTCCAAATATAAATAACAGTAAGAATAAAAAAGCAGAAACATGACACGCATCTTCATTAAAAACTACAGATAACTGCACTAGAGCACGCTGTAGTTGTAGCATGTTGTAGTTTTATACAGTATGTGCAGAAACTTTAAACAGAAAAAGTACCACGACGCAAACTTGTATTGTTTCCAGAGTCTATATTAAATATCTGTTCATACAAAGTTAGTTTTAGGTCTGATATTCGTCAGATATTCTTTCCCCTGCTCTTTATATAGAGCTGATAGTCTTACAAAGATATCAGTGCCACAATTAGTTTTAACAATATGCAATTGTATGTCGACATGAAACATTCAATCAAAACGCCACAGCGCATTACAGCTGGATATTTATACCACTCACAGAGAACACATCTCAGGAAAGGTGTCTAAAGGCTGGTTCATACTTCTGCCTCGTGTACTGAAGCATAAACATACAGTGTAAAGTGTATTTGGCAGTTGTGTAAATATGAGAAATACTGCTCACCTCTCCTCAGAAGACTCGCTGCGTCCAAGGCTTTATGGCTCTTTGTTCACGACACTGATTTCAGACAGACTCCTGAGGCAGAATAACGCTTTATCTACAACAACAAGAGCTTTGCTGATACGAAGCGAATATTTAATCTTTAATCCATTTAAATCTGCTGTTAAATGTGAGACCGAGAGTGTGTTAGACAACACTGCGCTCTCTGCCACAATGTTTTTGTGAGTCTCTCTCTCTCTTCTTCTTCTTCTTCTTCTTCTTTCCAGTTTAACGGCGGTTGGCATCCAGCTTATTGGTGCATTACCGCCCCCTTCTGCTCCGGAGTGTGGATCAGATAATAGGTTATCTATTCCCTTTTCCCCCTAAAACTTACACATCACTCACATTGTCCCCTCACATTAATATCCACACACACATCATACATCAAATCCTGCTTAAAACCCCTGCTTCCCTTAAAAAAGTAATCAATATTCTCCTCTGTGCCCTGTTTACTGTGCTTAGTAACCCTTGTAATGTGCTCTCCTGCACCCCAATCTCCCTTAGTTTATTCTTCATTACCTGCCTCTGTGTTTCATATATCTTACAAGTCATGATTATGTGCTCCACTGACTCCTCTTCTCGACATCCCTCACTTAACCCTGTCTGGTGCTTCCCTGTCATCTTCAGTGTTTTATTCAGTGAACAATGTCCCAACCTTAACCTAGTCATCACCGCATCTTCTCTCCTATTTCCAATTTACATCCTTTCCTCTTTAACATTTCTCTTTATTAAGTTAATTTAGAAATATGTTTGAAACATTTTATGTTTGTTAAATTCAAGATGTTGTTTTTTTAAGTAAGGACCAAGCGGCCAGCATATACGTTTGATCAATTTAGCCTTCTCAAATCAACATGACTTGCCTAAAATAAAATCTATAGACATAAAACACTTCATGCAATTCACAATATTAATTACTAAATAAAATTAAAAAGTCTGTTGCATCCAACCTGTCATTTTTCACATTTAACATAAAAACAGCAATAAAAGGTAGGCTCATTGACGTTTTTTTTTAACTCTAATTGATCGATTTCATGAAACATTCATTTGTATTAAATTGTTCAGATGTTTTCAACATGCATTCAAATGTTTATTCATGTTTATTTCATGCTGCAAATATTAAAGATGAAAATGTAATTGATTCACATGCTGCTTGAACTGAGACGAATATAGGATATAATACTAATATATCTCACTACAAATTTAGAAGCGTAAAAACATATTTATTGTTTGTAGCGTAGTATTTTATTATAACATTGACAGAAAGGTGACACTTTGTGTTTTAATATAAGTAACAATGCACAAAGCTTATTGCGATTTTTGGGTGGCTTGCATGCTACAAATGATGAATGGACGTTAAATATTATTTCCAAGCATTTATACCGTAAATAAAACAGCTTGTGTATACACCGAACGTTAATCACTTCAGAAAAATCAACAATAAGTTAACCGAGTTGGAGCCAATAATGTTGGGGGGGGCCCAATAAAATGTTTTGCATATGGGCCCGGGGCTGACTTGCTACGCCACTGCTGTAGGCTATAGCATACATCAATCTAAAACACAGCGCTCAAGTTTAAAGAAATTCAGCTTCTAAAAACAAGTCTCTAGACCTTGCGGTTTTTTAAAAAAAAAAAAACTTCCACTGACCTGTCTCGCGACCAAAACACTGTCTGTGTGAACCCAGTATTCTAATAGTAGCCGGCAGGTTTGGTTACGGTCCGACAAATACGTGAATGGGCCACATATGTTTTTTGTTTTGTTTTTTTACTTTGTGCTACGTCATCGCCCCCTTTCGTTACCTCAGCCACCCCCTCATCAATGCTGCGCTGGCGCCGGCTCTGAGGACGCGAATATTGAGGAAACAATGGATGGTTTTCACGCTAAAGTAAAGTAAAAGACGCTTCTTAAACCAGAGGGGGTAAACAGTAAGTATATCTTACTGTTTTATTGTTGTTGTGCTTTTTAATTAAAAATAACAGTGAATCCATCTTTTGTTTTAGTCTTAAAAAGTGAATAGATGTATGCAAAACAGACAATGATCTTTTATTGTAAAACGTG